ACTGAGGCAAGTTATCCCTGCAGTTCATCTGATGTTCATCTGGGTTGTTATGTGACCTCCTGGATGAGAGGTTGACGCGCTCTTGGAGAAACTTTGGTCCTGGGAAGGTTTACCACTGTTCCATGTTTCTCCATTTGTGGATAATGTCTGTGGTTCTCTGTAGTCCCAGAGCCTCGGTGATGGCTGTGTAACCCTCCACATCGATAAATGTCAGTGACTTTGAATCTCTTTAGAACATGGCTTCCTGCGCTGCTTTTTGAGCGCCTTCAACCTGCTTCACACTGCCAGACAGACTCTATTTAATGATGTTTAGATTCAACAAGCCTGGCAGTAATCATGTGTGGGTGTAGCTGGTGAAACTGAACCCAAATGTCAACTTAATGAAGGTACTAAAGATACTAAACCCTTAACATAGCTTCTCCGGGAAGATGTTTTGTTTTTGAGGGTGAAAGCACAAAAATTCCCAGGTCCCAGGAAAATATATAACAAATATATAAGTTCTGAAAATACAGTAAAAACATTTTTCAGAACTTAGTTTTGGGTCCCAAACAACAAACAAGTAAACTGAACAAAACTGAGCTGACAGTTCACCTGACAGTTGTCAAGAAACTTTATTCCTCACAGAGTCTGCTGCAGATGTCCATTTACCCAGATTACACAAAAAGAAAGACTTTAAGCGTCACAGTTTCTGTGCTGGGTCCAGTAACCGAAGACCAACAATCCAAAAATGAGAATTCACCGTTTTGTTTTGCTACAACTGGGGTAAGAACTAGTTCCAACTTTGCAAGGGTCCAATTTATTATAGTATTTTTGTTTCATTTTTGGGTAAATTCTTGCCAAACAAAAAGCCAAATTATATTATATACCATGATTTGATGTTGAAAAGCAACTTTTTTTTTGGTTACTGTATGTGTATGTTCTCTGGAAAGACTCTGACGGACGTGATTTACTTTGTTTATTTCGGTATGTGGGCTTGTTTTTTAAGTATCTGTGAGCACAGCAGCTTCTTAAATGTGAAAAGCTAATTTGCGCCAAACTAAGACAAAACAACGGCCTGTTACAAATATCTGAACAATGAATTCTTGAGGTAATCCGTGGATTTGAGCAACCTTTTTGCACCTTTGAGGTTGGAAAATTTTCTCAGCCAAGAAGCATTTAATCCTTTAATTTACCTCAAAGCATTAAAGTCCATTAAACTACAATGTGCTGCTTGTAGACAGCTGGTTGTTATGTGTTAATACTGCATGTAAACACTGCCATTAATTATACTGAAGATTGAATATTTCTCAGATTGTGTCATTAAAACAGACAATAAGTCACATTCATGTGGGTGCAGGCGTCTCCTCATAACAACCTGGTCGGACTAAATATTTATTAAAAATCAGAGGTAAGAATTTGTAAAATCTCAACACCGTAAAGCAACATACACACTTTTCCAGTTCGCATACTTTCGCAATCAGAGTATAAACAGCAGATTGTACACACACACACACACACACTGTCTGGATGAGGCCAGTCCACACATACATGTATACACAACACACTTGAATGCACACTTTCACACATGCTGCTCCGACCGCAGCGCCGCAGCCATCAGCGGCTCCCCATCAGTCTGCATCACATTAAAGGACGTTTCCTTGTTCATGTGCAGGTCAGCATGTTGAAGTGATCAGGAGCAGCAGCCGATGGTGTGTTTCAGCTCGTAATGTGACCAAGGTCTCGCCTGCTGATGTAAAATAATATCACTCATCGGTGCAAAGAAAGCTGCGTGATGCAGACTGATGGAGTCTCACGTCGGGCTCCTGTCAGCTACACTTCAGCACAAACTGGACTCTCTGCTTGTACAGTTTGGTAGAAAGCAGATGTTACATTACAGCTGTCGGTGTTAACACGCTGATATTCACATAGTGGAACCTCAATCCATCTAAAATCTGTTTCCCCTCTTGTTACAGAAACATGAAATATCTGTGAGGTAAAATGAAGTCGTTACTGCACACTGTGGTCAAAACAACTCTGTCTCAAGGCTGGACTTTGATCCAGGAGACCAGGGTTCATGTCCTGTGATGGATGAAAGACCACTAATCATAAGATCCATTTTCTGTTGTTGTTTACGTTTGTTTTTCACTTGCTCTCTGCTTAGGTTTAGGCATGTGGNACTCACAGCTTCCAGGACTTTCAGGTTCTGCTGCTAACGCCTTGGTGCCTGATACCACAGAGCACCTTTAGAGGTCTGTGGAGTTCAGGCCTTGATGGACAGAGCTGCTTTGGCACCATTAGGGGAAGCTATTCACTATTAGTTTTAATGTTGAGGCTGATTGGTGTTCAGTATTTTCACAAGTGCAGATAAAGAAAATGATTAGAAAGGGATTGCTGACAGACGCCTGGACTTCTGGACCAGGATTAGCTCCAAGCTAGTTGTGATGCCACAAAATCACCTCATACATCCAGGTGTTAAAGTGAGACTGAAGGGAGAAACTTTGCTTCTTCAGCAAATGAACATAAAGCTGCAGCATCCAACTGAAGCAACAAAAATCAGAGCACGTTTCCCAGATCTCCATCATCATCTCGACTGCAGCACAGCAGTTCTTGTTTATGCTCAACCTTTATAGGAGTTACATATTTCTGTGATTTCTCTCTGAGATATGTGAATGTTGAAAAAACATTTTGTTATAATCCTCTGACCCAAATATGAATCGAAATATGAAAGAAGTTTATCAGCCAGAATATTTGAAATACAAGCGAGTCGTCACAGATGGTGGAACCAGCTGCTGCTGCTGCTGCTGCTGCTGCTGCTGCTGCGAGACGCACCAATATTT